TGGCTAGGTCTGCCTGCAATGTCAGCCCAATGTCTCTCTTTCATCTCCTCTTTCCTTTCCCCCTTCTCAAATTATTTCCCCCCTGGATGTTGCACCTGGCCTCCATCTGGCTCCTTAACAAATCTTTCTGCATTTACTTGTTGTTTGATTTCTTCTGGACCCTTTCTCCAAACTCACCTGATCAGGACAAGAAGCACACTGAATCCCTACCAATGAAAGTTCTACAAGAGAGTATGCAGTCTAATCAAGGAGAGCAAATCCTTAGATCTGGGGGCCAAGTCTGGCTCTCCAAGGGCCCAAGTTCTTCTGGTCTCCCCAGAATGTTGTGCCTTCTTCCCCAGGCCCACCTTCTTTCCTCCAACCACCGATCCTTTGCTGGTTTCCTGGTTTCTGTGCGGCTTTCCCTCCTTCTAAAATACTGAAATGCCCCTCCTGTAGTTTAGTGGGGTTTAATCTGAAAGGCGCTGGCATTTGGGGCATTTGGGTCTTGCCTCCTTTTGACTCAGGCCCCAACCACCCATGGAAGGCTTCTCCCAAGATTTCCTCGGAAAAGCATCAGGACCTTCGTCAGAAAGAGATTCCACACCCCAGTGTTGCTCCACCAGTTGCTCCCCTGAAGTGGGACAGAAATGACATCTAAATCCATAAGCAGTTATGAGTGACTGAGCCGTGTGAGCTATAATTGTGTAAGATTGTATGGAAGAGAAGTGCAACCAGCTGGAAAGAAATGAGCACTTCTGTACATGACTCCTGAATCATATGGAATTATAGTTTTGTGTTCTGGGTAACTGCAAAAGGTTGGCATTTCTTTCCTGAGTGCTTTTTCTAGGACATGGGCTTTCAAGGTGTGTGTATGTGTATCCTGAGTCTTTCTTAGAAGGGGCTTTGCCAAGTTATAGCCGGAATATCTAAAGGGGTGTTGATATTGCGCTACATGACTCTGGTGTGCACACAACTGGAACACTGCATCCAGCTCTGGGCTCCACAGTATAGGAAAGACATAGCTAGGTTAGAATTGGTCCAGCGCCGGGTCACCAAAATGGTAGCCCGGTTGGGAGGGATGGCATCTGAGCAGAGATTGAGGAAACTGGGTCTTTTGAGCCTGGAGAAGAGGAGACTCTGAGGGGATCTTTTAATGACTTAGATGTATGTGAGGGGATATCATGTGGAGGAGGGCTGTGAGCTGTTCTCCCCTGCAGTGGAGGGCACGATGATTCCAATGGGGCAAAGCTCAAGGAAGCAGGCTTCAGGCTGGATGTCAGGAAGTACTTCCTGATGAGTAGGATCCTTAGGATATAGAATGGGCTTCCAAGGGAGGTTGTGGAGGCCCCATCAATGAGGGTGTTCAAGGAAAGTTTGGACAACCACATGTTGGAGATTACATGAGCAGAGCCAGCTGGAGAGGGGGGTTAGACTAGATGGCCTGGGACGCCCCTTCTGACTTGCTTTGATTCTATGTTTCTAAGCTCTGATTCCAGAGATTCTTTGGTTTGGGAGTGGGAAACGGTTTTTCCTCCATTCTGAAGGCTACATTTCCTCATGCATGGCCTTCCAGTGGTTGCATATTAGTGGTAGTCCTGGCCAAAGTAAAAAGTTTTAAAAAGTTAAAAAACCCAAAACTATGGACAAGAACTAATGGGAACTATTAGTTAATTTGTCCTTCAGCCATGCAAGTTAACTACAAGAAGTTTCCTCAGACAAAGAAGTGACTCTCCTTCTCGTGATTTTGTGTCCCCTTTCCTTTCTCCCCTTGTCTTTTTCTCACTCTGTGGTCCTTTTTCTCTGCTTTTTCTCTCTTCCTCTCTCTCCTGTTCTGCCCCATTTCTCTTTGACACCTTGTCCTCACATTTGTCCCTCTCTCCCCACTCCTCTTCCTTGCCTTGCTTTCATTCCTTCCCCCTTTCTCTTCTTCCTTTACTGCCCCATCCCTTTTTCTGCTCCTTCCTTTCTGCCTGCTTTTCGTCATTGCCTTTAGTTTTCTCTTCCCCATTGCCTCTCTTGTTCTCTCTTGCTCTTCCTCCTCATGTCCTCTGTCTGTCGCTCTCTCTCATTTAGCTGCAGACCTGGGGCCTTGAATTTGCCAAGCATGGGCCCTGTCGCTGAGTTATGGCCCCTCCAGAGCCATATATACACACACACATGTCCTTTGCTTGACTCTTGTGGGTTATATTTCAACATGGAGATTGGATGCAGGCACACAACTAGAACAAACCATATAATAAATTACATCACTGTGCTCACAGTGCCTTCTATTCCATTATAATGTGTGTGTCCTGGCAAGACCAGTGGGATGGGATGACATCTAATACAGAACAAAGTCATCTTTCTTAAGCTGGTGTCAAACTACTTTTAAAGTACTACTTTGTTTCAGAATGTCTGTCTTATGGTGCTGGCTTCCAGATCCTCAGTAAAAAAAGTCCGAACTGTCAGCTGTGAGTAGTGATGGACATAATGATGTTTTTTTCAGATAATGAAGGAGGGTTTAGGGGCAATCTCCTGACAGAGTCCAGCAGAGGGCAACAGAAATGATCATCCAGGGTTTGGAAGCACTGCCCTATGAGGAGAGACTGAGAGAACTGAACATGTTCAGCCCTGAGGAGAGAAGACAGAGGGGGACATGGTATCCCTCTACAAGTTGCTCAAAGGCTGCCACAAAGAGGAAGGTCAAGATCTCTTCTTGCTGATGCCATAGTGTAGGACATAGAATAACCAAGTCAAGTTGCAACAATTCAGATTCAGGCTGGACATCAGGAAGAGCTTCCTAACTGTGAGAGCAATACGGGAGTGGAACCAGCTGCCCAGAGAGGTGGTGGGCTCTCCCACACTGGAGACATTAAAAAAGGAACTGGACAGCCATCTGAGTGGGATGGTGTAACGTGGTGTCCTGCAACAGCAGGGGGTTGGACCTGATGGCCTTCAGGTCCAACCCTTCCAATTCTACTATTCTATGATTCCTTTGTCACTGATACCTTTACTTGCAGAAATAATGTTTTGAAAATCAAGTGACTCTTTCCTAGAAACCCATCTCCTCCCTCAGATGTTCCTCTGGCTGGCTCAGAGTCATGCAACATTGTATGAATGGACACCTTCTAGTCCAGCATTGCGTGAATGGACACCTTCTAGCACAAGTTGTCAAGGAGAGCACCAAAGGCCCTGATTATTGCTGGCTTTCCATAACTTATCTGAGCAGACTCCCATGTGATGTGAATCCCCCCATGACACTTAATTTTGGATGCCAAACCACCATTCAGTCTTTCAGGCACTAGAATTGGTCCTCAGAAACCTGCTTAGACCAGGATTAAATAAAAATAGAGTGTCTTGCCCTCCTGTGCATGTTCCTCAGGAATGGGTATTCATGCAACTTCTGATTTCTGGGGTTAATTTGTATCACCATCATGATTAGTAGACATTGATTGACTTGCCCTCCATGAATTCATCTCATCTTCTTTTTAAGTCACCCATGTTTGCGTCCATCATTATGTGGTACATTCCTCCAGCACTGGAACTCAGCCCACCCAGTGCTCCAGATCTGGTAGATTGATTCATCTTCCACCCACCCACCCGCCCACCCATAATGGAATAGTCCAGTTTCTCCACCTCACCTGCAAAGGCTAATAGACTCATGTGCTACAGTGCCATCAATGAGGCTTTGGTTCTCATCCCATGGAACAAAAGAGCAACTGTTCCCGTCTTCTGTCTCTCTGAATATTTTTACCAAAATCTCAGCAATGCCAGCACAGTGCCACATTTTGCAATGCTGCAGGGACACAGCTGTGGTTGTGCTTTAAGCTGGAAGGCATATTTGTTTCCACAGATGTTAGGACTAAGCAGGGGCTGAGCTAACATACTCTGCACTGACATCCTTTGGAGCTGTTCCTCACTGACACTGAGCTAGATCAGCCTCGTGTGTTTCCTGCAAGACTGATGACACAAATACAACCTCCTCAGGCATATCAAGGGCTTATGGAATAAAAGTCACGCACTCGCCAGTGCTGAGTCGCAGGCATTGCCAGAAGCAGAACTCAGAAGAGACTTGGCACAGGCAGAGTTTGGCAATGACCAAATGTAGCCGAGAAGTCAGTTCAGTGGTCTTCTCCTTCCCCACTTCTAACAACATGGTCCCACTTCCAAACACTACCATAAAAGCAGAGCCACCCCCCTCATTGTCTTATCAAGGTGCAAATGGCTACTGAGCTGGATCCAGATTTATACTGGATCAACTGTGCTGGCAGAGGTGGGCTTCTCCACTTCCTCCCCCCAGTGGCAGCCCCTCTAGTCCCCTGAAATGCTATGCAGAGAGATGAGAATTGGCACATGTGGTGGTGGAGGAATGCCCAATGGTCAGGGGCAGGGAGCTTCTATGCCTGGAGCCCTTTCTCTTGCAGGATGCAGTTCCTGGATCCAACCCCTCTGGAGCAGTTCGCATGTCACAACAACGCACTGTGGGTAAATAACTGTATGGCACGCAGGGCGTGGCATGTAGGGTATATGCAGCTGCCATTTTAAATACGCAAGCCCTGCCCCCTGCAGGAATTGCCATATTGTGAAAACCCAGTGAATATGGGTTATGTGAGGGTTAAGCAACCTTCACATGATCCACAGTCTGTGTTAGGGTGCTGCTGCTTGTCATGGGTTAATTTAATGTTGTTATGTTACTGCCTACCGGTATTTTACATGATGCAAGTTCCATGCCGTGTGTGAAGCAATCAAGCAAGAGAATCGTATTTGTTCATTAAAAGCACCTTCTGCAAAGAAATTATTTGGTAATTCTTTAATCACAGATAGCCCTATTTCCATTCATTAATTGCTAATAGGGGCATACTGTTATGCTAAAAGAACTGGTGTTAGCATAATGAGAGAGGAGGTAAGTGAATTGTACCGACTTCCTGCACATTACCATGAGAGACTGAGAGATTCTTGCTGAGCATTATGTATCACTGTTTACAAACTCTGCCTTGTTTTTAAAACAAACAAACTGTTCTTTTCTTTATTATCTCTAGGGTCTCATGATTCCTTTAGCTTCTACATTGATGAGGCCTCTCCAGTTGGACCTGAGCAACCAGAAACTGTCCAGAATTTTGTCTCTGTTTTTGGAACTGTGGCTAAAAAGCTGATGAGAAAATGGCTGGCAACACAGACAATGAATTTTACAAGCCAACTGGGAGCAGGCATTCGGTATTTTGATCTTAGAATCTCCACTAAGCCCAGAGACCCTGACAATGAACTCTACTTTGCTCATGGTTTATTCAGTGCCAAAGTCAACGAGGGCCTTGAGGAGATCAGTGCCTTTCTTGCTGACCACCATAAGGAAGTGGTCTTGCTGGACTTCAATCACTTCTACGGGATGCAGAAATGCCACCACGAAAAACTGGTCCAAATGCTCAAAGGCACTTTTGGGAGTAAGATGTGCCCTGCCATATTTGCCCACGAAGTCTGTCTCCAATACCTATGGGAGAAGGATTATCAAGTTTTGGTCTTTTACCACAGTCCAGTGGCTTTGGAAGTCCCATTTCTATGGCCAGGACAGATGATGCCAGCCCCGTGGGCAAATACGACAGATCCAGAAAAACTGATCCAGTTTCTCCAGGCATCAATCACCGAGAGAAGAAAGAAGGGCTCTTTTTTTATATCTCAGGTGGTGCTGACCCCAAAGGCTAGCACTGTGGTCAAGGGAGTCACTAGTGGTCTCAGAGAAACTATCACAGAAAGGTGAGTGTCTGTATAGCAAGGCGTGTTCAGGTAGATGCCAGAACCTCTGGAAACTCTGTAGTTCTGGGTGGGGAGAAAGTAGAACTCCAGAAGTTTTGGATTTCAACTCCTACATTGCTGACAAGTGATTGGCCAAGATGGCAGGGTCTTCTCTGAGCCAATCCAAAACTTCTGGAGATCTACCAGCTGCAAACTCCTGTGAGAGGAGGTGAAGATCCCTTTCTTATTTAATTGTTCCCCCTTGTTTCCATTTCTGGACATATTTCAGGAATAATGTTGAAACTTTTCAAAGGAAAACAAGAAAAGTTCTTGTTACTTTGATGAGAGATTTAATTAGTTTTCTTATTTCTGTTCCTTATTGGCAAACATGTTCATTTATTAACTGCAGTAGGTAGGTTCAGATTTTGATTATTGTAGTCAAACCTTGCATGCAGTAAATGGCGGGCCCAGGTCCCAGAAACATGCTAGCTCACTGCTGCCTGTAGGAAGCCATTAGTCGGTTCCAGATTTAGCCATAGTTAGAGTAGACCTAAGTTAACTTTAAGTAGGCCTAGATCTGGATCCAGCCTAATGCAATGCCTCAGCATAAATATGCATAGATATCTGGGGATTTGCCATGTGTCTGTAATCCTTTATAAATGAGAGAAAGGAGGTAATTGAACATCGGAGAATATCCATGCTTTCATACCCCCAGGTCACACTAATTCATATATGCTGTGGGATGTAGGATGTTGTCATATGCTGAGCCCCTTTTTGTCTGCATTGACTGCCTGAGTTTCAGCCTGGAGTTGTTCCAGCCCTCTCTGGAGGCACCAGGGTTCAACCCTGGAACTTTTCACATGCAAAGCATGTGCTCTCCCGGGAGAGGCACAGCTCAAGACATGTTTGATGCTGAGCATTGACTTCATGACCCACCGTACAGAACTATGATAATCTCCAGCTAGAGCATCCGCACATTTCTAAGCATATCAAATTTTAGCAAGCAGGAGGCTAAAACTGTGCACTCTTGCAGCGTCCAGGTCAGAGTCCTAGGACCGTACCGCCTAGAGGAACCCTTCTGTATAGACCAAAGCTATACTGAGGTAGTGAAGAACTCTCTGTCCTTGTGCAGCTGAGGAGGATCCTGCCATAAGCAGAATTTCTGAATGTGCTGCTACAGATCAATGCAGTAACACAGTCCTCATCACCTCCAAGATGGAGATTGTGTATCACTTCCAAGATATTTTCAAATGGAGGTCTATCACATACCTAGTTGCCACTCACCATAAAACCATGAGAGACAAAAGGCAGATCTACACCAGTGTGTTATATGAGCTTATATCTGGAGTGGCTTTCACTTATTTATTTTATTTATTTAAAACATTTGTATATTGCCCAACTGTGCCACAGCACCTCTGGGCGCCTCATATCCACAAGATAAAAGCTCAGTAAAAAGCCTGGGAATCGATGTTTGGTGAGGATACAGAGACGACCTTGTTAGAGGCATCCTAGTGCATCCTTTTCACAGAATGACAGTTTCCTCCAGTTCCCAAGAAGCATTAACAGCTATTAAACTAATGTAAGTTCTTAAGTTGCATAGAAATAGATTAAGACATTTTGCTTTCTAAAAAGGAGAAGATCATCCCCAAGGGATCTCTCCAAGCTGGGAGATCGGGCTTCAAAATGGCAGATGCAGCTCAGTATGAGCAAGTGTAGAGAAATGCCAGTTGGGGCACAACATCCCGGCTTCAAGTATAAGCTGATGGGATCTGAGTTACCAGTGACCGAGCAGGAAGGGATCTTGGGGTCGTGGGGGAGAGATCAGGGGAAATGTCAACTGAGTGCAGAACTGCTGTAAAGAAGGCAAACTCCACTCTAAACATTATTAGGAACAGAACTGCCAAAATCTTACTTCCCTTATACAAATCTTTGGTGTGATTGCACTTAGAATATTGTGTTCTGTTCTGGTCACCTTGCCTGAAAAAGGACATCACTGAGTTGGGAAAAGTATAAAGAAAGGGAACAAAAATGATCTGGGAACTGAAGCAGCTCTCCTATGAGGAGCAGCTATGACAATTGGGACTGTTCAGCTTAGAAAAAAGGCAAGGGAGACATGATGGAGGTGTTTAAAATAAGGCAGGATGTGGAGAAAGTAGAGGGGGAGACCTTTTTCTCCCTCTTCCATAACAGTCAAACCTGGGGTCATCCCATGAATCTGATTGGTGGGAGGTTTTGGACAAGAAAGAGGTTGTGCTTCCTCACACAGCATATAGTTCAACCATGGAACTCACTGCCATGGAAAGTGGTGACGGCCACCAATCTGGATGGCTCTGAAAAAGGATTAAACAGATCCAGGAGGGAGGAGGCTATCAGCGGCTGCCAGCCTTGCTGGCTGTGTGCTGCCTCCTTTCTCAGGGGTGGCCTGCCTGCATCCACCAGTTGCCGAGGAGCTTGGGCAGGTGGAGGTCTTGCACCCATCCTGCTCGAGCGATCCTGTGTTCACCTGGTTCGCCACCACGTGTGCAGAATGCTGAACTAGATGGACCTCTGGTCTGATCCTGCAGTGCTTCTCTTATGTTCTTATTAACTTATTCCACATGGAGAAACAGTGGCGCAGCAGTTGAGTTGTGCCTCAGAATTGCCATGTCCCACACTGGGCTTCAAGGCAACGGGGCAGCATGGGGCACCCTTGTGCTTTGTGGCACACTCGACTCTCTCTGACAACACATTGTTACTGCTCCCACTTCTCTCCCTGCCAGCATGTTCCAGAAGTGGTTCTGCCCCACTAGCTGTAATGGGAGGACTGGGCCATGTGTCGTCCTTCCTGCTATGTGTCGTCCTTTCTTCCAAGGGTTTTGGTTGCTGTTTTGTTGTTTCTTTTTTTCCCCATAGGAATAATTAATTTTGTGTGGTGAGGAATCCCTTTATGGAGATATTTTGAAGCCAATTGTTCAGCTAGCATCCAACAAAGCTGTGCATCTTTTACAGGGAGGATACACATGCACATAACTCTAATGGTACAAAGGTTTCTGTAGCAATTTGTTTTTATTCTCTTGAATTTGTTTCCTGTGTCCTCATGCAATAGAAATAGAGAGAGATCAAAGTTCAGGTGAGGTTGGAGTGCATCTAAGCCTTAAAAGCTTTTGATGTTTCACTTATTTGTATATATTTTGTCAGGAATTTGATCCTATCGTTAGTGTATGTATCTTTGTCCCAATCCCTGCCTCTGTGTGTAGACACAATAGCTGTAAATATGAGTCCAACAGATATAGTTACAACATCATTTAGCCTCTTCTGTCCTCTTACATTCTGTTCTTAAATACATTAAAAAAGAATAAATCTTCATTTTTCTCTCTCTTTGATGGAGTGAATTAAGAAATAGTGGTTGCTAAGAATTGTGCATGATAGGTAAGTTGCGATGGCAACTTAGAGGCAATGGATTGGATCCAAATGCACTCACAGTTAGAGTAGATCTCTTTGCATCAAAGGAACTTAAGTCAGCCCTGCCTAGCATAATTCCTTCTTATTTTAATGGGCCTGCTCATTATGGGTATATCTGGTTCAGCTGATTAGAATTATACATAATGGGTCAAGTTTGTAATCAGAGGATGAAAGACCAGTCAGTTGGTTCTATAAGAGTGTAGCAACACATGTACACAGAGAGTGAGAAAGAACAAGAAAATATGAATTTCTGAGGTGAAGATAGAAAGCACTTTCCCCTTCTGAATGGACATCAGTTAGGCATATTGTTGCTTCATTCTATATGCAAATCCTACATTGAGTTTGGGGACTGGACTAGATGACCTTCAGGGTGCCTTCTGACTCTAAGATTTTATTTTGTCCTTCTATCCCTTATACATGTGTTGCCTCTCTTGATCCGTACTTCCATCAGTCACAAGTTCTTTAGAACACTTAATCTAGACATTGTCCATTTATGCCAAGCAGTCCTGAAATGAGCAGTCCTCATCTGATGGGTAGAGAAGACCTCTTCAGAATCTATATTCTAAACAGAGTTGGGTTTAGTTCTTTGTAGAAGCAGGGCCTGGCAGGAACTGGGTGGGTACTTCTCATATACACAGATGAGGGAATGCCTCTTTTTCCTTTCTTAATCAATATTTTGATACAGAAGGAAATGCCTGTTCTAATATGACCACTGCCGTGACACAGAGACTACAGGCTATCTAAAACAAAAGAAATGTGGCATTTTGCTCCCTCCTTTGAAATAACAATGCGCCTGCACATATGTACAGATTTACAATGGCATCTTATAAAAATCCATCCAAAAGTAAGCTGCTTTGTGTTCATTGGATCATATTCCTAGATCAATGGATATAGGATTGCAGTTTTCATCCAAAACTGAAATCATTGATTAAAGATGGATCTATTCCAATGTCTTTAAACAGGCGACTGCCCTAATAGGTATTCTGTCTATCTTGAAACCTTTTGTAACTGCCAGAAATACATGTTTAGATCAGAGCCTTCCAAATGTGAACTGGGCAGGAGGTGTTCTGCCAGAGAGCAGATCTCTGGGCAGCTGGATGTGAGCCCTTTGCTGATCATTCTGAATGGTGGTGCGTCCCGCTGACGCACAAGCCCGTCTCACCTGCCATAAGCTGTTTCTCTAATACAGATGGGAGTTACAAGGGCGCAGATAGTCTGCCCTGCTCAGAATGAAAAATTGCTTTGCTTTTCCTCCCTCCCAACTCAGACAGCCTAGCTGATGCACAACACAAGAGCATCATTTTAATCAAGATAAGAGTGAAGAGAGTTTCCAGGTCTTCCCTGAAGCAGGGCTAAGGGCTAAGTAGCCGATACGCGGTGTCTGTTTGAGGCTGATAACGTTCATTTAAGACTGCCGCTCTGGATACCAGAGGCAGGTAGTCCCTGGGGTCTAATCATTTGAAAGGAGGGCATCTAATAATGCTTCTTCCTGTGTGTGAGCAGGAGGAGGAGATTCCTTAGAGCTCTTTGCTAGATTCACCCTTGCAACCTCGCTTAAAACTGGATTCTGCAGCAATTGG